TTGACATGCAAGTCTTGAAGATTCTAAAACTCTTAACTTTTAAAACAAAGCTTTCATAACCTATAATGTTTTATTGAAATAATTGACTTTTCTTCTTTAGAAAAAACTCAATTCTTCGAGTTTTTTTACAATTTCAATCAGGGAGGGAGCTTGGTACCTCCTAATACGACAGGAGCTTCCCTGAAAACTAGATCTGTGAAATTTTGGGGGGTCTCTTAAAAATGTAGAATATGCTATTTTTGTCATGCATTTCTATTTTTCTGTATCTTTATCTTCATGGATTATGCGTTAAATTAGGTTATTATTGATTTATGAATCATGCATGAGGTTCATCTCTAATTTACTTTAATAAAGATTCTTGCCATCACCATTGAAGTGTAGTGGCACAATATCCAAAACTTCATGCATTTTCACTCAAAGATCAGAAAAAAACTAACTTTCTTAGTGCCACTTAGGCTGCACACTGAAACGCCATCATTCCCTAAAATAAGTGACTACCCCGAAAGCCATGGTATGGTTAGCATAATGTCTGAAATCACTCCTATTTAAATCACAATATAGAGCACTACATTTATACATTTTATTAGAGTGTGTAAATGTATCCACTATATAGTTATTTTTTTGGCCTTTTCATGCCTTTATTGGACAGAGACAGCTGAAGATGAACAGGAAAAGGGGGTAGAGAGAGAGGGGATGACATGCAGCAAAGGGCCGCAGGTCGGATTCGAACCCGGGCCGCTGCAGCAACTCCGTATATGGGTCGCCAGCTCTACGGACTGGGCACCCATGTATCCACTATATAGTTGAACTTGAATATCAGTACTGTGTAAGAATGCACCATGAACTGTACATTGGGTCATGCAAAACATTTGATAGTCTTCTTCAAAAGCCAAAGAATGTTGGTCAAGTCTTTTTAGGTACTGATCTAGATCTTTGCTCACTACATCTCGTGGGTTATCTTATCAGTATTATTGGCCATGAAAAACTGGTAATTATTGGTTATTGTATCGACTGAGAAATAAATCCATATTGGGCTTTCCTTTCACTGTAAGAACCACCTCCACTGTGGTAGAGGTAAAAATGTCAGAATCTGATATTTCCAAACTTGGACAAATAAAACCAAAACTATGTGCTGGGTGGATGAGCCAGCCCTTTAAGACAATGAATCCTGTTGGTGAATGAAAAGACAAACAGGAATTTTTGGTTAATGTTTTCATAATGTTTCAATAATGCCAAACTTTGATCTAGAGCCCTGTGCAGGACTGTTTTCTTAATCTTAATTCTGGCTACTCCCAGTGGATTCCTGATCATTACCACTCTCTCCCATGAACTGCAGGAAGGAGTCCTGTACTCCTATACAGCACAATGTAATGTGTTATGCTGTTTATGGAATTAAAAGGAATTAGAGCTTAGATGCACTTAGGATCTAACAATGACTAATGCAGAAACCTTTGCGCACATGTTATTGGCCACTAACAGCAAAATCTTAGCACCCATACTATACAGCTGCTTCTCTCCTTTCCAGGAACAGGCCTGGGAAAGTAATTAAGGCCGAAATCCAGCGGGCAGAGCTGATTACCCTGACTGTAGCATGGTCCTATAGATGGAGAGGCCCAATGATCTCATCCCATTGTGTAGAATGCAATGAGGCACAGAGCCAAGCGAGTGCAGCTTAGTGTGGTAGTTTTGGATCACTTTGTTGGAATTCTATCTCTAGGAAACGTCTTCTAAGGAAATAGATAGATGTTAGAAAATGTATTGTTGAGGTAAATAAAACTTTGAGTCACCAGTGTCCTGGGAACATGGACCTTTATTCCCAATAGTTTGGTTTAATATAGTTAGCAGTCAAGGATGTCTAGACGCTCTGAGCGGTTGCCGTATTAGCTTGTCTGTAGAATTTATTGGGGAAAATGGGGAAAACAATCCAAACCGAATTCGGAGGAGTTTTATTTGAGTTTTTGCTCAACTCTTTAATTTTCCATGACTCTATCCCTGTAGCAGTCTTGGTTAATTTACTATCTGTTCTAAATGTGAAACAGCCAGTCATTATAATTGTAGATCAGTCAAAATCCCCAAATCTAAGATCTAAGATGCACTGTATGTGTGTGTGTGTGTGTGTGTGTGTGTGTGTGTGAAGGCTCTCACTGTGCTTTTATACACTGGAAAGAATTAGTAAAGTGGTTGCATTCAGTCCTTCCCGTCAGAGGGATTCCTTGGTATTCAAAGCCACAGCAGACCGCGGTGGGCTCCTCACAGCCAGGGAGGGAGGGAGGGTGAGGGATAATGGGGATGGGGGGCAAGGTCTGGCATGGTGCCACATATTCCCAGCTAGCTCAAGATAAATGAAAACAAAAGCCACATTAAAGCAGTGTACCACATGAAACAACCAGTGGTTCTTTTTTGTGTCGTCACAGTACAGATCATGTGCAGTTCCTGACCATTTTACAGCATGTTACTGTTCGTACCTTCCAGGCTGCCACTGCTCTCAGCTCATTTTAACTTGATCAAAATTGCAAATACTTTTACTGACAATAATAAAAACAGAGAGGTTTTCATTGTTGGAACCTCATGTCAACTGTGGTTAATACAGTGAAACCTTTCTATAAACACTTCATACCATAGTATAAACTCAGTGACATTTCTGTGTGTTTGGCAGTCTATTAATACACCTCCAGTGGACATCTGATGAGTGGGTGTCCTGACTCATGCACTGAGCTGCAGTGTCTGTCAGATCCATAATGATGCTGTCATAGTTACTCTGATCCAACCAGGCTTCTGTGGGGCTGACAGTAGTTCTCTCCACTGTTACGTCATGCAGTAGTAAATATCTTGTGTCATCAGCATACCTCTACAAAGCATGTCATCCATTCTTTAAGGTATGACTTCACCACTGACTACTACACAGCCACATGTTTAGACCTGTAATGGCCCGTGGCCAAGTGGCCATGTCCTTATTTAATTGTAAGCCTTAATGTAATTTAAACAGATGAGTTATTTGAAACTTCACCCCCTGTGCAACTGCCTTTAACCTCATTAGAGACCCAAAGGTTTTTTTTTACCAGGCTGTACATTTTTACAATGTTCATTTCTGCTGTAAAGTTGGGCATTTTAATATGGCGCCTTACGGAGATTGACTCACTGCTGAAGCCAGCCTCAAGTGGCCGTTAGAGGAACTGCATGTGCTTCTGTGTTGGCTTCATTTGCAGCCACAGAGGTTGAATTTTCTACAGTGTGATGTAGAAACTTGAAGCCACCAGTGTACATACACCGAGAATGGACTTTACAGTGAAGTAGGAGACATCTTGTGTCCAGCAGGAAAACTTTAAAAATAAAAAAAAGTTGTCAGTTGTCTCTCTTTCAATTTATTCTTTCCCTCTTGTTTTATCTTCCTTTGATCGTATTTACATGCTCCCTATGTTTGGATCTCTGTGTCAAAAAGGTGCTATATAATTAAAGCTTTACTCACTTACTTACTTACTTATACAATTATTTACAGAGACCCAATGGAGAGAGAGAGAGAGAGAGAGAGAGATAGAGAGAGAAACAAAGGTGCACAGCAACAACAGTAGCAACAACGACACTAAAAGTAGTGACTGATGATGATGATGATGAACACGAAGAAGAAGATGAGGATGATGACAACATAAATAAGTAGTATAGAAACAAGTGAATACATAATGATATAAACTGTAAAATACTGGCTGATCCAAAAAGAAATAAAATAAACAAGAAATAAAAAAATAAAAATAAAATCTATACATTTTGAAATAAGATCTCATCCATTAGACCCTGTACTGGAGCTGTTAATATTGACAATTAGAGCATTAAAATCTTCCAGTTGAGTCAGCGCTACAAACAATGGGACATTGATTGGAAAGGAAATGTGCAAAGAAGAAAGTTCAAGAGACATATGAACTTTGGGAGAGAAGTCGGTGAGCTTTGAGTTCTGCTGCAGCACCAGCAGCAGGCTGAGCTGTGGTTAATGAATCCGCACATAATTATAAGATATATTGAGGAGTGCAAGCATCCTTGAGCAAGATACTGAACCCCAAATTGCTCCTGATGCTGCGTCGTCAGTGTGTGAATGTGTATGAATGAGTTAGTTTCTGTTCGATGGACTTTGCCATCACTGAGGAATGTGTTGAAAGGGTGAATTGCACGAGTGTAAAAGCGCCTTTGAGTGTCGGAAACTAGAAAGGCGCTAATACAAGTATCCATTTACCATTACATTGTTGATTGATTCATTTAATTGTGATTGATTCATAACATTTGTTGTAAAATGTTGTTAATAACTATTAAAATGTCTGTTAATTATCCAGATCATTCAAATGAATGCAAAAACCATGAAGATCATGCATTTAGCATTTAGTTTAATGTCATTATAGACAGATTATCTCTCCGCACCCCAGCTCTGACTGATTTCAGTTCCCATCAGGTGATGTAGTCCAGATGAGTCCGGGGCTGCAGACAGTATTTGATGAAGGATGATGTAAGATGTGGTCTCGGGGTCCGGGGATCCCCATTTGATAAGATTTAGCTATAACTGTCTGTACTGTAGATTGTCCAATTAATAGTGAAGAGTATGAAACCCATGAACAGAACAGGCAGTCTTAAACATTATCTCATACTTCTAGTCAATTAAATAATAGTGAAATTAAAATATTCACCGTCCGTTTTTATGGGGACCCCCGGAACCCCCTCAAGGAAAGATAATGACTGCTGGATGATGCCAGGCAATGCTGTAAATCTGTAGCAGTGTGCATTAATAATAATAATAATAATGATAATAATAATAATAATGAATGTAGTTTGGTACTGTGCAGTGTAACGTCACGTATGGTTGAGTTGTGTGCGGTGGAAAGAGCTGTAATCCAGGACACTACCCCATTGTACCCGCTGACTGACCTCAGTTGCATACATGTAGAATATCTGCTCCAGTCTGCTGACGCCACAGCCGGACGCTCCATATTTGGCCACGCCTCGCGCGGTTACACTGCTATAACCAGTGGTTGGAAATCAGTGTGAAGCGAGACAGTGATCCGGTAACATTACCGCTGTCAAACAGATACATACAGACTGTTTATCTGGACTACATCACCCGAGAACAACTGAAGCCGACATGGTGACACTCAGACTCCGCACAGCTCTGCTCGCTGTCTGCTTCCTCTGCGCACGTTCTGTCTCAGGTAAATCCGAACGGCTCGCGCGCTCGTCCTATACGACCTCAGCAAGAAATGACTTAGAAAGATTTTATCTCAATACTTCAAACATGTACACAGTGTGTCATTTCAGTAAGACATTTAGAATTTTCCACATTAGTAGATGAAACAATGAGAAATGTATAGCGCGTAAAGTAGAAAAGCAGTGCAGTATGTGTGCTATAACATTATATTATTATATAATAAGAAAACACCTGGATTCGTATGAGCAGGTCTCATCCTCAGCACCTCATTGTGTAAGATTTGTATGACTTATTTATACATTTATTATTGATTGATTATCATTTTCTAAATAATCGTTATTGTCTACAAATGTGGATATTTGCCTTTGGCTTTACAGTGTGGTTAAAACACATCAGTGTAAATCCCTGTATAAAGAGAAAGCGCATACAGTACAGACAACAATAACGGATATGGCTGCAGTCGAAGACTTGTTTGTGAATTTAGCGCATTTGTTGCATTTGGATTGAAAGGCTCTTTGTAAATGTCCCTGGTTACCGCACTGGCTCTATATCGTTTTGTATATGTTTAGTTTAAACCAGTAAAGGGAGCTGAGCTGAAGTTCATTCTACAGCCCTGGGGGTAGAACGACAAACGGAAGGTCATTCTGTAGGTGGGCACTAGAAGCTTTTATAGCAACATTTTTTTTTACTTTGCCACACTGACTCTTATTTATGTATGTTACTTCTCAGAATTTTCAAGGTGGCAAAAGGTACAATCATCAGGTCATACATGCTATACAGTGTACAGAGTAAATCCTAGAATTACATTTTTGACACGCTTTAAAGCTTCTTTAAGTCTTCTAGAAGACCATATGGGGAAAATGTCATTTATTGAAGAATATACTGAAATATTAGTTTGTAACTGGTGTATGTGTATTCCTACCATCTTAAGTCAATATTAGTTGTTAGATTAAATTAGGCTGCAACTAATAATTATTTTTATTATCCATTAATCTGTATGTAGTTGTTTGGTTCTTAAAATATCAAGGTAATGTCCTCAAATGTCTTGTTTTGTCCATGACCCAAAGATATTCATTTTACTGTCATAGAGGATGAAAGAAACAAGAAAATATGCAGATTTGAGAAACTGAAATCGAAAAGAATTTGGACTTTTTACTTAAAAACAATAGTTATTTCATTGTATTTTACAATGCAGGGTTGTATCATGAAGGTCAGCCAGTGAAAAAATATTTTTCATCATATACTGAGGAACAAACTCATCCTTTGGGCTCTGCAGACACCTCGTCTTACCAATCACACAGATGCTGGGTATCAGATCGATTATCTAAATAGTTGCTGATTGACTAAATAGTTGACAACTAATCAGCTGATCGTTGCAGCTCTACCTGTAACCCATTAATGTCCAGACTTCTGATAACACCGACAGAATGAAGCACCTTGCACATTATTGCTGTTACTTTTGCAGCTAGAAAAGTCCTGTCTGCTCACTGTGGGACTGTGTAGGCACTAAATCTGTTATCCATTCTGGTTTTTAATTGTCCCACTTTTTAAAGTCCAGTTTCTAAATCGTCACATGTGATGACCCTCGAGGTCCATTGAAAAACTTGCACCAGAATGTTCCCTGAGTGTGCTCTGTTTGCCCTCTCTGCCTGCAGGAAGCAACAACTTCATGAGTCTTATTGTAAGCTCAGCCTCAGGCAGTTGCCGTCAAAACAGCTCACTTTCTCATGTGTTGTCCATAGCACACTTACTTGAAGTCAGAAAAAATAAACCGCAAGTGTTGGTGGTAGTGACCGAACAGTCCATGAAGTCCATAAAGATACACAAGCAAGGATCTTTTAGTAACACTGATAAGAGCAACGCCTTTCACTCAGCACTTCATTAAAATCACCTTGTGTGCCCGATGAGTCTGAACACTTTATTATCTCTGTTTCAGCAGTACATAGTGTGCACAAAGATGTTTTCCCTAATGTGATCCCATATGGTAGTTGTAAAGGACCATTATTAAGGTTTTATTAGATAAAAAGGGTAGCTTTCTGAATGCCTTACATAGTACATGTACAACTATCTGGAAAATATAAAAGACCTTTGGTGCATTGTTTTCTGACGGTCATTCTAACTTAAAGTGAGTTTGATTATTCGACCTTCAACACTGTTTTGAAAGGTGTTAGAACTGTATTTGACATGACCTCTTTCATTTTGCAGGCTCCTATCCCCAAGCGCAGAATGTCACTTGGAAATCCACCAACTTTAAAACGCTTCTGACTTGGGAGCCCAAACCATCAGCTGAGTACTCCTACACAGTGGAGTTCTCTACGTAAGTACCTGCACCCTGTGTTCCCAGCTCATTCATACTGACTTCCTCCAAGACAAACTCAAGTGTGTTGACTGAAGCACACAGCCCTCTGACAAGCTCGATGAATAACCTTGAGGGAAAGATTAATGGCAGCAAGGGATTGATAAGAATCCATTATTGATCCCGTAAAAGCTTTTACTGGAATGTTGGTTTTAGTCTGAAGATCGTTAAATAGATAATAATAAATATAATATAAAAAATATAATAAATAAATGATTCAATAGAAAAATGTTTAACATCAAAACATTCTTTATTAATGCCAACAACTGTAATCCACAATAGATTCAATTGTTACATTGTTTTTGTGGTGTATCTTACTGTGATTAGTTATTGCATTCTGACAGCCAGGCCTATGTCTTAAAAAGTAAATACCCACAGTGGAATTTTAGAATTCCACTTTTTCGTACTGGCTGAGCTAAGCACGAATCTATTCATTTTTGTTAAATGGTAAAGTATGAGTAAGTATAATATTTTTGCGGTGCACGCATGGCTTGCCTGGTGGAGCTGGTTCCCCATGCCAAGACTAGGTCCTGCAGCGGCCATGGGTTCAACTCTGATCTGGGGCTCTTTGCTACGTGTCATCCCCTCTCTCTCTCCCCTTTCCTGTTACCAACAGCTGTCACTATCGATTAAAGGCAGGCAAAACAAATATTTAAAAAAAGTATAATATGCTAATATACTAATTCAAATTTACCATAGGTAACCAGAGGTTATGGGGTAAATAGCAGACTGGATGACTTATTCATGCCTGACATTTAAGTTGTACAAAACTGTTTTTTTCCATTAGAGGAAGCAATTCCCTTCGCCCTGAAAGGACTGTGAAAAGACAGAGGGTACAGGAAGTTCAGCATGTCAGATATTTAGGATTGATTGTTGATAATGGTCTAATCTTCAAAAAACAAAAAGACACAGTTTAACCTGTTGACCTTTGAGAACTTTATGTTTATGTCCAGAGTTGCTTTATTAAACAAAATCCTTCACAACCGCCCAGAGGGGACTTCAATCTAAAACATACTTTTACATCTACAACTGCTTCTCAGTGAAGACTATAAGAATGTAGTGTGAAAACATGGTTGACGGACAATCAGGTCTGTAATTATGGAGCTGTAAGGCACTGAATGTGGCCAGTATTGCTACTGCTGATGTTGTGCTGCCTTGTGGGAATTATAGTGTTGTATTTCTGTTGTTTGTTTCGGAGTGATTGTTCTTGGGTTTTGTGTCTTATTTTTCGTTATGGTGTTTTATCTTGCACATCACTAGTGACCTCTGCCCACGGACTAAAGGAAAATTAGCTTTTAGCTATTTTTGGTACAATACAAATAAACATTAAATAAATAAATAACTCCTAGAGATGTACCATCTTGTTTTCAAGAGGGGTCTCAATGATAAAAATACTATATATATGAAAATGGATCATACATTCATAGTTTACAGAGTGGCAGTATTGATGTCAGTGAAAACATTAGGTAATAGAGTTACAAAACATGATTATTGGATTATAGAGGTGTTCTTATGGGAATGCACAACTGTCATTAAGGATATGTATAACTGATCCTATAATAAGAAGACAGGGCATATGTGTAAATATTATTTATCACGATATCATGATTGATCATGTCAAATGAATGTGAAACTTATTTAGCATTTTTAGCAGAAAATCCACTTTGTCTACCTATTAAAGCATAATAAATATGTGGAATCAAAATGTTAGATTTTGTCATCAGTTTCCACAGCAGATTTTGTGTCTCCACCTCTAAAAGAAAATATCCTTTTGGGCTTTTCCTTAACATACTAAATATTGTCGGTAGTATGATTCACAATCAGTGGGAACATTTTCATTGTAACTTAAAACAACTACTAAAATGGTGATGATGTGAGCTGTTGAGGTCTGTACCAAGCAAACATGTTTTCTTAAGTCAGGAGAGGTAGGCCAGGGCATCTCTTCAGCACTACACTACTTCATTATAATACTGTTTGGCACACCTTTATCAAACAAGTTTCAGCAAATTGAACTTGAATGTTGCATTTGGCCATATTGCAACTAGAAAATATTTGGATTAATTTTGCAGCCCTAGTCATTAATCATTAAAGACCTTCAATGACATGTTGTTTTGTAATCCATTTTCTTACACCTGTGCTTATATTATTGATTCCTTAGTCTGTTTGTGTCCATCAGTCGTGTCCGTATAATGAATAATGTGATCTGTCAAACCGTTGCAGGATTAGTGGGAACGAAAAGAGGAACCCTCACTGTATCCGCTCCTCTGCGACAGTGTGCGATCTGACCAGCTCCCTGACCAGCGATCTGGCTGACCTGAAGGCCTGCTACACAGCTGACATCCTGTCTGAACCCCCGCTGGGCATCACCTCCGAAGACATCGAGGCCCCCCACAGCAGCTCGCCACGATTTTGCCCTTACAAAGACAGTAGGTTCTTCTGCAGCAGAAAAGAGCCGATACATACATTTACTATCTACTATTCCAGTTTCTTATTTCATAGTAGCAACTGTCATCTCTATTATTATTTACTCACAGAGTTAGTTGCTGAGCTTTGGGAAAAAGGTGACGTCACTATAAAGAAATAATTAAAAAAACACTAGGAGGAGCCAGATTTTTTCCCAGATTATCTGTCTCATGTTCTACTGTCAGGATAAAGTAAAAATTATTGTTATTTTTTATGAAAGTTACCTACTGTAACTTTAATTTTGGTTTTAATCTTTGCTTTAACTTCAGTTTAGTTTCAGTTTCAGTTTTAGTTTAGTTTTTTATTATTTTCAATGTTATTATAATATGGGGGGTATTTGTACATTTTTTGTATTTGGGAAAAAGTTCACAATAGGCGTTATAGTACAAACACAATGACTCACAGTTATGTAAAGTTCCCAGTCTCCTCATGTTTGTTCTGTTGACAGATTTGACCCAATTGACATTTCCTGTATATTTTTATTTTACTTCAGTGATACAATATCGTTAGATTTCGCTTTTTTTATTATTTTTATTTCATACCTACTTTAAGCTTACTTTAAATTCATTATAATGACCATGGTAAATTTAAGGAAGACTGCTTTTTACACCTTACAAAGACATCTCCAGCGTAAACCTGCTTAGCACAATCACTGCTCTCCAGTGCAGACTCATGCATTTGCATCATGCTTTCATGCATTTATGGTGAAACAGCTAAGTCAGGGTTAGGATAAGCACCATAGAGGGTACTTTATCATGTTTTATCTACCAAAGGGGCATCCAAGAGGGCACTTTTACAGCATTTTGTTGAACATTGAGTTACAATACAATACAATAATAGAAATGACAGAACAGAACTTACAATCCCCCTGTCCCTTATCCACAGCTGATATAGGCAAACCTGACTTCAAGCTGGAGGTCAGTGAAGACAAAAAGAAGACCACCCTGTATGTGACTGACCCACTCACCGCCCTGTTTAAAGATGACCAGCAGCTGACCATCAGGGATATCTTCTCAAGCGAACTTGAGTATAAGGTCACCTATCGGAAAAACAGGAGCACCGGCAAGGTGAGTGACAGGAGATCACAACAGCAGCATCAAACACACACACCAACAAGACCATATGGACTACATGTTTTCCCTCTGTGCCGTCTGCAGAAGGTGTACAACTCCAAGACCAGCACGATAGAGCTGACCAATCTGGACCGAGGGGAGAGCTACTGCTTCAACGTACAGGCCTACATCCCCAGCCGCAATCCCGACAAGCAGCTGGGAGAGCTGAGCCTCACTCAGTGCTCTACCGACGACAACAAGTCCATCTTAGAAGGTGAGGCGGCCTGATTCTAAAGCAGGAATTATACTTTATTACACAAGGGTTCGAGTGACACAGATGTCATCATCAGAAGGTGTGTGAGGAGGCTCTGTGTGGTGAGTAATGTTTAAGGGGAGACACTACAGGTGAACGGTGTAAATAATTTAACCAATAGATATGACTTTGGCTTTTGAGCACAAAGACTGATTTTTAGAAATCTAACAGCACCCTCATGTGGAAGCAATGAGCAATGACATATGTGGGTAATGTGGGATATTTCTGTCCATGGTGGTAATCATTGATTCAGTGGGGAAAAAAACACATGCATGTTAAGCTCCCAATCACCTCAGCCTTTCCATACACACACACAGTGACTAGTGGAGGATGACTCAGGTTTTTTTGTTTGGATTATAAGAGATGCAACTCAGCAACACTCCCTCTGAGTGGGATGTGTGTGTGACTCCTTAATGCCTTTACTATAAATAGTAGACAGATATGCCTGTCTGTCGAGAGGGCGGCTAAATAATGCTCCAAAGTTACACGCCCACTTCATGCTAATCCCATACAGTTTTTTGCATGTATTTTCATCTAGTGTGTTTGAATATATTTCTGCATACTGGTGTCCAACAGTATTGAAATTGCATAATTTGGGAATGGCTGGAAAGCTGAGACTCTTGTGGATTCAATGAGCCCAACTGTATTCATATATGATGATGTCATTCCACATAGTAGCCATTTCATTGTAGTGAGGCCACTGTATAAAATGAGCTATTGTGACTTATAGGAAAATCACAGCCTAATGAAACTCTACAAGCGTAAACTAGAGACTGAGAGCCTCCAGAGGATGGATGGATTTCCTAGGTATATTGATGCCACTGATTTCTCACATTGTTTAGTTGTACAGTCGCCTTTGAGATTGAAAGAAAATTCACCTGAACAAGTTCACTAGCATCACCCAGGGGCTGGATGCCCCCCCACTTTGAAACTCATTCTGGCCCCACTGACTGAGAATGGTGTTCATTCTGTGCAATGTTGCGCATTGTGGGGACTTTTGTTTTATTTTGTATTTCATATACAAATCACATATTTTGTCGGGTTTTTCCTTTAACTATGCTACATCCTAATACACAGAAAGTACAATGGTACCACTTTATTTGTAGTCCACCCACAGATGTAGAGTATTTATAATATTTCATCAGCTTATTAGTTAAGACTTCAATCAGGGTCGTTTTTGATAGTATTAAATGTTTTTTAATATTATGGATTTAATATTTCAGAGATTCCTTCATGTACCATGACAGGCAGCTCACGTACTATACTTTGAGAACTGGTGCTTTAGATAATGTGTTAAACATGTTTAGACAGAGCGAAACAGTTGAGGTTTCCAAATATCAAATAAGTCTTTTAATATAGTGTGGTCTTCCTATGTCTGCAGAGTTTTCAGTGGGTTCGATCGCTGCTGCCATCTTTTTCATCCTGCTGATGATCGGCCTAATCATTGCTGTCACAGTGGTGTGCTGCAGGCGCGTGAAAAAAGCTCAGAGAAGAGGAAAACAAGTGCCACTCCAGGATGCATAGAGACACCTGCATTAGTGTGGGAACATGCGGTACAACTGAACTGAGCCTGTGTCAGATTTAGTTTAACATTCCACTGTCAGACACTGGAATCAATCCTTCCTTTGGCTTCTGTGAAACTGCCTCTGAATGTGTCAGACATATTCTTCCTTTATCATTTTAAGCTGCAGAAAAAGAGACTATCACTGTTTGAACACTCCTGCTGTACTTTAGTCATATTGCTGAAGCTGTAATATTTCTTGTCTTTTATATTTGGTGAGTGGTACCTCTGATAATAGATAAACACTAGCAACGGATTTTATTTATTTCATTTTATAGTGTACTTTCTAACTTGAAATATTGTCATGATTAGGGTTTGATACTGATGAAAGCAACACTTTATGGGAAATCATCATCACCTAGAATATATTATTTTTGTATCCAATGCTTAATTTATTGTTTAATTGTTCAGATGAAATTAACATATTTGTATATGATGGTATTTTTAGCTGTTTTATATTTTAGATTGCAGATTATTTTATTATGTGGTGAAATGTTGAAGAATAAATATTTTACAGAACACAGACAATTTTTGTTATTTCAAAATTATTTTTTAGAAATCATACTAATGTTTTGGGTTTTGAATGTTGGTAACCAGTGTCATCACAAAATTATTAACAAATCAATATATTGCTAAATATCTGTACTTGCACCATCTGTAACTTTTACAGACAGATAATCTGTGAAAAAAACAGGTTCCTTTGGCTCCTCCTAGTGCTCCTAATGGCATTTGCAATAATCCACCGGGACTGAATGAAAACAACCAATCAGAGGCAAGAAAGACAGTTTAATGTTGAGTCTCATTCCCAGGTTGTCAAATAAAGATGGTTTGTTATCTTCAAGAAAGAGGTTATGGGTTGGTCCGATCTATCTTTCTCAGTCCAGTCCAGAAAAGCGTCAGTGACCAGAGATCATTATTGAACCACAACAGTGCCACTGGGCTATAAACATTTTAGGAACCTGTGTTTGTTTGGGCCCTCTGCAGTCTCCTCAGTACTGTAATAAGTTAGTCCATAGTATGTTCAGCTGATATTTAACAGTGCTACCCTACACCCAACTTTTGTTTTAATTTTGAATTTATAAGAACAGCTTTGACATGAATCTGCACAGTTTGATGCTAAGCTAACAGTTTCTTTCAATGACTGCTGATATCTTATATTCTTATTGAACAGTTGCTCAGAGGATCTTTGTCTCTTTCTGTCCTTTCAGACGTTTGGGAGAGTAGGTCAAATATAAATTTAAAACTTAAAAAACTTAATTTTTACTTAAACAATATTATTGTTTAAGACTGAGCCATATAAAAATCTATAATTTGTTATGGAATCTAATGTGGCTTGTAAACCCATGAGGGTCGGGCACCTTGTGTGCATGACAATAAAATTAAATCAAAATCAAAATTATTATTATTATTATTAACTTTGCATCTTAGTACAATTGTATCACGTTTCAGTTTTGCCTCCTAAGGGAAAAAGTTTGGGCAACCCTGGTTTATATATTTGTACATGTACAGACTTTACAATACAGTTGGGATATAAACATCATTGCATCACATAATTAGAACAATAATAAATAAACTGAAACAATAATTTACCATCACCAAAAAGATCACCCCTTAACGTCATTTTAAGACAATTGTTTTTGGCCATTGAACCATATCAATAATGAAAGGGTGAAAAAATGTAAAAGCATTAAGTAGCAGTAGTCAAATAATAATATATAATATATATATAGGCGTTATTTATTGTCCTTTCCAGGAAATTTGTTGTTACAGTCTGTACATAACCTCACAAAAATACATACACAACATAACAATCCAAAAACAGCACATTTATACATACATTTATACATAATATTTACACATGATGGCTACCAAGGTGCTTTGTTGAGCATTGCTATGGCAGAAGGGACAAAAAACTCTTGCCATTGTGAGCCTGTTTCCAGGCCAGGGATCTGTATCTGCAGCCTGATGGAAGCAATGTGAAGAAGGGGTGAGGGGGGTGCCTGGAGTCTGGTGCTATATTGTGTGCTCTTTGTGTAATGGCTTTGTTGTTGAGGTCTGAGAGGTTGGGGGTGGGGAGACCAATTATTTTGGAGGTGCTGTGTGTGATATGTATGAGTTTGTTCCTATAGGAGGCAGTTAACATAGTGAAGAAACAGAGGGAACAGGAGAGGAGAATGGGTTGGATCATGCTTTTAACAGAACATAACTGTAGACTGATGAGGAGCCTCAGACAGTGCGGGCTGGCAGCTCTGCCTGGTAGACACATTTCCCATCTGTCTGCATGAAACTGACCCTCATCTGATGCTCAGTGACCTGGAAGTAAACCAGGCCTCCCACTGTGTGATTGACAGGACTGGAGTAGAGCTGCCAGGACAGAGGGAAACTGTCCCTGTGACTGGTTGCAGGGTCGCTGACACTCCCACTCCCGCTGACTACATATGAGCTCCCATCATCCTCTCTGATAAACTGTTAGAAGAGGAGACCACGCATTAAGATTCATCGTCTGTGTTCCATGAATGTACAAAACATTGTGACAGCCGGGGACATTGCGGTTCAAACCCCTGAGCCAGGGAACCCCACATTTCCCATTATTGTTCCAAATGACAGACACAAAAATCACAAAAATCTCCAAATGTTAAAGATAAAGATAACATTGGGAGATTTCTAGGGGTTAAGTGCCCTTGAGCAAGGCACCTAACCTCTAACCCCCCGTGCGCCTAGGCTGCCCACTGCTCCGAATGTATATAGTAATGTATATAGGATGGCTCAAATGCAGAGGTCAAGTTTCATTTCATGTATGTAAAATGCTGTATATACTGTGAAAATGACAATAAAAACTTTATCTTTATCTTTTTATCTTTATCTTTTTTTATCTTTATATTTTATGTTTAATATGTAACATTTCTGCATTAAAATGTATATAAACACTGGACAAATATTATATTATAATAGGTAAACAGGTTCCATAGAATTCAATATTTTTTAAATAATATTAACATGCAATGAGATGCACCTTAGATAAATGTGATTAGTGACATCTCAGATCATGTAAATAATGGACAGATAAACAGACAGCTGGACCATTTAACTGCTGGACAGACACACACATTTCCCGACTCAATGTTTGGTACATACCTGCAGATTGTGATCATGGCCACACAGGTAGGCAGTGACTCTGTATTTCTTCAGTAGGGGCCTCAGTCTGTTGACCAGACAGAATGTTGGTCCATGATGGCCAATGGACCACACAGGATAATGACCTGCCACCAGAACGTAATCTGACCTGGGACAAGTCATAAAATTTGTCAGTCTAATCCAGAGGAGCCAGCAGCACAAGAATAGGTGATTAGTGGAAAAATTTATATTTTTCCATCTTTGGCGATTATCTTTTTGATTGCCTTGCATGCATGTCAATTACTTATCTGTAGATTTTTATATGATTAAAGCCGGGAAACATCCCCCTAACTAAGGCACATTGACTGTTAAATTAGACAAGAGCAGACTAATGCAGGAAGTTTATTCTGTTGTTATATTGTGCTTTTATTTTAAACCCACTAACCACTCTCTCTTTGAGGTCTACTTCCTGGAGGGGAATGTTCTCATGCAGTGCAGAGACAAGAGTGTACAGTACTCAGCTGGTGGCAATTGGCTGCCAATAATCTCATCAGGCTGTACCAAGTAGTCAGGAGGAAAGAGAGGAGTGGGTTGAGGAGTTTGCTTAAGTTTAGGGCTTTTGGTAAGTATTTCCTTAGTTGTTTTATGCAGTTTGTTTAATCTGTATTAGTTTAAAGTCATGTGTATTTGGTTTATTTAAATATTATTCTGATTCAATTGTAAATATCTGTTACATTTAAGTGGGAGAGTTTTTGTATCTTCACCATAGTCGTGGGAATGATAGCTTCCACAAATATAAAAGTGGGTTGGAGAAGCAGGGTCAGGGTGACACAGAGAGAGGATAAAGGTTATTATCTCCCTGGCTGCTGGAACCTGCTACACTGGTGAACCTGTTCTTGTCATGCTGTCTAATCTGTTGGTGATGAAGATTGTGGATTTTGTACAATCTGTGTTTAGACACCAGTAAATCAAAGCTCTGGACATAAACCTCTACCTGACTGATACTGCTTATTCATGCACTACACATTATTCCTCAGTTCTGCTGGTTTTCATCCACTAGAACAGAAAATAACCACTTATCTGACTTTGTACTGACTGACCTGCCAGATATGTCAACGGTTAATTTGCATGTGTTAACCTAACATGCAACCAATCAAGTTATTTCTGCTTCCACTTCATGTACAGATGGATGGCAGATTAAAGGAAAGAATAAGGATAAATGAACACAAAAACATACAGGACACAGAGGCTCAAACTGAAATGGAATTAATTTAATTGAAATGAAAATGGCATTGCCAAAATGTGTGCTGCAGGTTTCATTAAATTTGCTATCGTAATGTGCATTACATATCTGAAATCTAAGGCAGCAGCTCATTATGGCATTGTGGCTTACCTGCTGCTGGCCAGTTTAGACCTGATCCAGTTCCACTGATCATCTGCTGCTCTGGGGTCCTCTGGTCCTGAAGGCTGGGATTGGTCGTAAGTGTTTCCACATAATACTACAGTGTCAATCATCAGGATGCTCACTGATATGTTTGTGTGTGGGGCAGTAAATTGGAGGTCATAGTAGAGACCTGGGTAATTCCTACAGACACAGAACAGACACAATGATATACTGAACTACTAAAATACAGGAAGCAGACTGAAAAAGAATAGCTAGACTAAAAATAGTGTAGGAGGGTTTACTTTTTCTTATTACTGCCTAGAAGGTATTCTACTGAAGCATGTTTGTAGTGTTTGATATTTACCATCGGTGGGACGTGTTAGAGTAAGCCATCTGAGCTGAGATATTGCCCACGTGGTCGTGGTTTCCAGCAATCAGATACCATGGGATATCCAGTAGAGAGGGCTGAGAGAAAACCCTTTCAAATGTGTGCTGTGGATGGGAAACCATTTATCATTCATCACTCATCGTAATTCACAGTCATAGTAATTCACCTCTTATATACTTTAGTTTCACCATATTTTGCCTACAAATGTCATTGAAGTTAAAAAATAATCATCTTTTCCATCACAAACTGATGTTATATACAGTATGTCCTTGTTCCATTACTTTAACAAAACTATATGGTGATTCAGAAGGACATGGTCCCTCACCAGCTTCCCACCCATGAGCACTGACATTAGTGTTCACTGGGGATTCTAAAATGTTGAATCTGATCGGAAACTCCAACCTGAAACCCCAACCTGACCATCATAATTTAATAATCAAAAAGGAAAACCTGATTCAAAAAGGATCTGAGGACAGAACAGACCAGATCCAAAATAAGGTAGACTTACACAGGCCCACAAATACACATGTAGCCCGGTGTAAAAAGAACAGGGGTAAAAACAAGTTAATTTGTAATAAAAATAATAAAAAGATGAAAATAATTTAATAACACAATTGAACTGAAAGTAATTTAATCAAAAGTCGAGAAAAATAAAATGTTAACTGAGAGATTAACATAAATGAATAATAAATACAGTAGAGTGTAAATAGTTGATTAAGTAGTTACAATAAACTGCTCTATATAGTAGTTGAAGAAAAAAGTGTGGTAAAATAAATGAACATATACAGATTTGAGTCCTTGGTTCATGCCGTTTCATTTGATTGGTTGCTGTAGGTATCACTCAATGTCACCTTTTGGTAATTGACCGTATGTAAAAAGGGGCTGGGAGAAGCGACAAGAGAGACGGGAGAAATAAATGCAGAGCTAAAGTAAAGTTAAAAATAATGACTTTATGGTACATAGCTTGCTGAATTACAGCAGAAGCTGTAGCTGAAGACAGTAACGTGCATTTCTTGATTTGATCTTAGTCTGATAAGTATAGAGAAATAGTGTTAAAGGGGTAAGAAATAGGAATTTTGTCAGAGACAGATTACTTAAATTTTGTGTAGTACTTTGATATTGCCAATTGCTTTTAGTATATTTTCTAAGTGCCTATTATACAGTGATTTGCCCTTTTTAGTAAAGGTTATTCTGTTTAAAAGTTAGTATTTCAACTATATTTAAAGGAGGTCTAATTTGAGTAATTGTGTTATTTCATTTTTGTTTATTTGTTAACTAACAAAGTAAATATTATTTGTGTTAAACTGGAAAACAACTGGTTAAATATTATTTCATTTATTTGAAAGAGTTGTCTGGGGTCAGTTATTTAAAATAGTGTAGAGTACGTGTGAATAGAGCCAC